GCGACATCACTTTCATGCCAATTCATAAACTTTTTTGAAGGTGGGAGGGTCCCTTTAAAGACATCATCTGTGATCAAAACTAACACAATATTCGTGATCAGCACCCCGAAAAACCCATTAGCAGCCACACTTTACGACTTTCTAACAGGTCCCGATTTTCCCGACTTTGGGTCATTGACCTGACCTGGAAGGTCAACCAATGACATTGGACCTTAAAATTGGGTATTATTGGCTTCCTCTCGTCACGGGCAACACGCTCGTTTTTTCCGCGAAGCTCTAGCTCGATCAGGGGCCAAACGGCAAGGGGGGGGTCCAACCCCCCCTACACATTAGAAGCTGGCAAACGCCGCACACATGCGAGGGTTAAGGCATCAGTATGTGCCAGACAAAAAACTGAGCCCGATGGGGCAAAACGGTGACCAGATTTGGAATCAGCGGCCTCGAATTAGGTAGAAACGAATGCTCACCTCTCTGTACATTTTTGGCTGTTGATCAGTGATTGAAGTAAGTTCGTGAAAGCTTGCACGAATGAACTTTGCTTATTTTCTTCTCTTTTTCCATCAACAGGACGTTGAAATTAAATAACGCGAAGTTTGAAGCACGCATAGCTTGATAAGGAGGTAAACTGTGTTAAAACTTCTCAGATTTACGATTCAGTCACCGCATATTTTACCAAGCTTGCTATAGAATAACAAACTGGAGATTTATTTGTTGTTGGATAGGATTTCCTTTGAGACAGCGCAGCTCACAAAAGTTTTTTGAACAGTATGAAACAATCAGTCATCAGCAAAATGACATTATTGACAAACTTTTACACTGGACCACAGTGAAATAAACTTTGCGATGTTTTCATCCGTTCTAGAGACCGAATTTTTCAACGATGGAAGGCTTTACAAAATGAAAAATCACAATGTTGTTTACTTCCAGACAGCTGTGACAAGCTTTGAAATATTATAGAAATTGTCTCTGCGCATTGTGTGGCATTGTTGAACGGTGAAGATTTATTAATCTGTTTCATCATAACGTTTCATCTATGCACGGGTAAAAAAAAAACGCTTATGATGTAAGCTAATAATGTGAACCGATCATGAGGCTTTTATGGCAACGATCGATCGTATGTTCACAAAAAAACGAGTACTGTGTTGAAAGGGCTCCGTGATAAAGCCACCAAATACTGAGCCGTCATTTGGCTCAGCATTGGAGATCAGAGGAGACTCTGATCACTATACGGCTCAGTAGGAGGGATCAGAGGAACTCCTTTGATCCCTCCTATCTCCACACACACAGGCACAAACCTTTCACCTTAAAACCTGAAACTCCCTACTCCGGGCTGAACAATCACCATCATTCGACGTTCCAGCATGGCTCCTCAGGAGCAGGCTCATGTGCGGTGGGGTGACGGTTTGCGGGGCTGGTCGGCCTGTCTCCTGTGCCGGGCTCAGCCCCGGCGGCGCATCAGAGAGGCCGCAAAATGTCACCCCTAGTTCATACAACTCCAAGGCAGTCAAGAGGTCTTCCTTACACAGAAGGTGCCGAAACCAGCACTTACTTTTTTCAGCGAGGATGGCCCATGGTCAGGAGTGACTGCCACACTGTAGTGTGCAGATCATAGCGAGGTAGATAAATCGTTATGTCAAACGGGCCATATAGCCGCGGTTCATATGCGAATAAAATCTGCCACGGAAATATAACTTACTGCCCATAGTATAAAAGAAAAATATTATAAGGATAGATGAATTTTCGCTTGTCGAATCGTTTTCACGCTCCTCCAACTTTTCGCATTGTTGTGCTTTGGTTCTTCTGACTGTCACAACAAACAAGAGGCAAGCAAAGCCGGATAGAGACAGGCCGAAAGCTGTCAACAACAGCAGCGATAACGCCTTAGCCTTGTCGAATGTTGAGCCCGCCAGTGATTTTTTTTTGCCGGAGCTTCCACACCGTCAGGACTTTGAAGAGCTTGGAATATTTTTTTCCCTGAGGGATACAAAATGCATTAACCCTTTGAAAGAAAACATAGATCACGCTATGCAGTCACATTCGCCTCTTTTTAGGCACATTTGCTAATGGTCAGTATCAGAACTACATAAATGTGTTGTAATTGTATTGCTATGTTCTTTTATATCCTGTCCTCATATCACGTATCCTCATATCACGTGGCAAGACATGAATTTGGCAGCGCCCGAAAGCAAAACAGAAAGTAAAGGATATGAGTAAACCATAGGAGCGCTTTTAGGATAGTTTGATAAATTATTTCATCGGCTATCCAAATTACGAGTTCTCCTGCTGCCGAATCACCGAAATGCGCCTTTACTTGCTTACATATGAGACAGCAAATAAATTGTTAGGTGAGTTCTAGCTCTCTGTTCGTCCCGTTACCATAGCAGCCTGTGATAATTTTGTTTCCAAGCGCGGCATCAATATCGATGAGCTTGTGGCCCGGAACGCTCCACCTGGCTTATATAGTCTTACCCTGAGCGATGCTGGTACTTAATTGTTAGCCGACATCACCCTTACATTATTGCAATATTCTCGTGGGCAACTATCTCTTCATTAAACAACCTAACCTCGCAAAGCGTAAACTTTGGCGGACTTAATTGCATGTCTCTTATTATCGTGTTATTATTCTTTGCGAGATCACATTACACAGCAATCGCTTGCTTCATAGGACGATTTACTTCGGCTAGACAATCAATATTTATATAATTGCAAAATGGTAAATCGTACCATAATTTTCTAATAATAAGTTACCATCATAGACAATGTAAACTGAAGATGCATGCTTCAAGTCGGATGATTAATTTTACGATGACATTAACCATACAAAATGTGTTTTCAGACCTGTTGCGGTCACCTCTTGAGAACTTTGATACCTCGTATTGGTCAGCTGTCCTTAAAAAGGAGACGAAATTCAAAGCCGATGACCTTTAAATCGACGCTCTTGGTAGGATCAACATTACGGCACAGCCTTATGCCACCGTCTGATGTGAGCTCGTTCCACGGATTCCCCGTCCCGGTGACCGCTGCGATTGAGCCATCAGGATCTATTGCGCCAAGATTACGCCAGCACATAGCGCTTGGCTTGGTTCGATTCCAAATAGAACGAAATGGTGTGCAGTGTCGAGATCTTGTGCAATGCGAGAATTGGGACTTCTCTTGCTATACCATGCATCATACTCTTACATTTGGCTAATCCTTCCGATAGCGCTATCGCCATTTATCCGTCCGCGGCACTCCATTCCGGCTCTCACCAGTCAAACTTCTCACTGACTTAGTTCACGCTTGTCAGGCGCTGCCGCTGCCGTCAGGCCCCCCCATACCCTCCCACCACCCCCTCCCCCGTCGGCGGCGACGGAGCCGACGCGCCGCGGCGAGCGACGCTTCGATAACCGGGTCCACATAAATCGAGCATCGCGCGGGGCGGCGGAGCCACGGTGGCGCGCTGCCCCGTCCAGGATGGTCGTGCGCCCTTTCGACCCCGGCCCAAAGGCGCCGCTGCAGCACGTACCACGTGACAGCGATGGGCCACGTGACCGAGAATCTTGAACTGACTGCGGCCACAACAAGCGCCGCTGGTCACGAAACACCCGAGCTCGATAGCGGACCGAGAGGTCACCGGCGGACGACAGAGCGGTTGAGAGAGACGGGGGAGGAGAGAGAGAGAGAGAGAGAGAGAGAGAGAGAGAGAGAGAGAGAGAGAGAGAGAGAGAGAGAGAGAGAGAGAGAGAGAGAGAGAGAGAGAGAGAGAGAGAGAGAGAGAGAGAGAGAGAGAGAGAGAGAGAGAGAGAGAGAGAGAGAGAGAGAGAGAGAGAGAGAGAGAGAGAGAGAGAGAGAGAGAGAGAGAGAGAGAGAGACCTGACAGTATTTTGAACTCATCAATCTCGGTGATTTCGGTGATTTGGTGTCGGTGATTTGACCGGTGATTTCGAAGCTATGTAAACCCTTTATCAGTGAACAGATGATGATAGGCTATCGTATAATAAAAAGAACCGCTGTGATGGCGGGATCACAGCGGCATCCGTTTAAGTATCATAATATCCAAGACCCCAGCCCAGCGCACTTGTTAGTGACTACAATCTGCTCCAAAAAGAGACATTCTCAATAGCCTCAGGCCGTCCAAGTTGAATCAGGGACCGTGGAAGCCACTTGACAAGACTTGACACAACTAGTTGAAGCAGCGACCAAGGGCTCTTTGAGCGTTTCTATTTCGCGGAAAAACCTATACCGTGAACCGGAGCATAAGCTAAACATGTTTATCACAGGACTCAGGAAGTGGGTTAAGCAATTTTGTAGATATTGCAGCATGGAGTAAATTCAAGCGTGCTGCTAACTATTAGCAACGTAGTCATCCAGTTCCTTAATGCAGTGATATATTACCACAAAAAGTGCTTCAATTGGCTAAACCGATATTATGCACAAAAGAACTGGCAAATTCTGTTAACGAAAAACTGCCGAAAAACGCTTAAAAATGTTGGATAAGCCCGCGCATGACTGGGGTATTTTCCATAACACGAGTGACGGGGGAAGGGGGGGGGGGGGCTCTACAGAGTCGCCCCATCTCCGAAACTACTGGGCCTGGGTAAAATTCAAATGGCGTCTGATAGCCCTGGAAAAACTGTCGAGCAAAGCCTAATTTCATTCACCGGCACCACAGCGGCACCATCCACACACCACACTCCTCCGATCACCGGTCAGAACTGTATTCTCACTCGATCAGCTGACCCGACTCAACCCACACCGCACAGCTGGGCGCCCCGGGCTATAGGTCGAGCGAGCGCAAGCCCGCTCTCAGGGACGACGGATAGGGCGGCCAGTGGCGCACCCAGGCACGCCAGCCCAGAGGCTGTGTGACAATCTACCACATTCCTCCCCCCTAGTTAACAACTATTTTCTCGGTCTCAGGTTATAGCGCGGTACCTGCGGCGCTGACACAGGCTCGCGACACTCAACACTCTCGCCACGCGACAATTGGACGTCACACTTCAATCGCGAGTTGAGCTCACCCCGTCCCTCCAACCCACGAGCCGGCCGCCCCACTGGGAAGGGAGACGAAGGCCTCTCCCGTTCCGGACATTCCGCTGGCGGTGGCGGAAGCGGCGTGGGAGTCGGCGGGGAAGGCGTCGGCGGTGAGGGCGTCGGCGGCGAAGGCGTCGCCTGCGACGTTGGAGTTGTCGGCAGCGACGTCGGCGGCGTTTGAGGAGGCCGCGGCGCCGCCGTCCAGTCCGTCGGCTGTCGGACGGCCTGGCTCCCGGCGACCGCTCTCGGGACCACCTGGTCCAGATGGCGCTGGAGGATTCGTCCGTCGTCCAGCCGGACCGTGAGCTTGAGTCCCGAGATGTTGATGCAGTGTCCGGGTAGCCAGCGTGTTGTCCTGCCGACGCCGGCCAGTCCCGACACCTGTGAAACGAGGACAGACATTCCTGGTAGTATGGTGCGCTGCTGTGCCTGTCTGTCATACCGCTCCTTCATCTTCCACTGCGAGCTGACAACACGATCCTGCAGACTGGGAAGCATACAGTCGAGACGAGTTCTCATGCGCCGCCCGGTCATTAGCTCTGCTGGCGTCACTCCGGTAGTGCTGTGGGGAGATGAACGGTAGGTGAACAGCACCCTTGCCAGCTTGGTGTGCAGCGTTCCATTCCCCTGTTTCCTCAGACCCTGCTTCACCGTCTGCACTGCCCTCTCAGCCAGACCGTTGCTTTTTGGAGACAACGGCGCAGTGCGCAGGTGTGTGATACCATTCTGAGTACAGAATGATTGGAACGCTGGTGCCACAAAACACTGAGCATTGTCTGATACCAAGAACTTGGGAATTCCCCAGTATGCAAACGTTTTCCGCAGCTCCTCCATAGTAACCTCGGTTGTTGCCCTAGTTGTTACATGTACGTCAATCCACTTGGTATATGCATCCACTACAATGAGCAGCATTTTCCCCTCCACTGGGCCACAGTAGTCAATGTGCACCCGCTCATATGGCCGGGACGGGAGGGACCACGGACTCAGTGGCGTGACGGGCGCTTGGTGGCGGTATTGTTGACAGGTCACACACGCCTTAACCATCTGGGTTATGTCAAAATCTAGGTTTGGCCACCACACGTACATTCTTGCAAACCCCTTGGTATGGCTCTCTCCCATATGACCGTCATGCAACATCTGTAGCACCCTCTCCCGCAACTTGACTGGAATGACGACTCGAGCTCCCCACAAGAGACATCCGTTCTGGATGCTGAGCTCACCTTGCTTCATGCGATATGCACTTAACTCCGGTGACTCGCCGCTCTTGTCCTCAGGCCAGCCGTCTCGGGTGTACTGCAGCACTCTGCTGAGGGTGGCGTCACGTTCAGTCACCAGTCGAACCACAGCGGCGGTCACTGGCGAAGCGTCCATCATCTCCACCAGGTGCAGAGTCTCGCCGGGCTCTGGCAAGTCTCCAGCAGCTGTCGGAAGAGGCAAACGGCTGAGACCATCGCAATGTCCCTGTCTCGATCCTGGTACATACTCTAGCTTGTACTGATAGCCCGACAACAACATTGCCCATCGAGTCACTCGCGGTGAAGCCATCATGGACAGCGGCTTATTCTCCCCCAGCATGCCCAGGAGGGGCTTATGATCGGTCCGGATAACAAATTTCCGACCTGCCAACCAATGATGAAAGCGGCGGACCCCCAGAATCACCGCCAATCCTTCCCGGTCCGTCTGTGAATATCGTTTCTGCGTGTCTGTGAGCGATTTCGAGTAGAAGGCTACCGGCCTCTCTCCCAGGCGCTTGTCAACCACGCTCAAGACACACCCAACCCCGTAGGGAGAGGCATCACAAGACAGCACGATCGGTGCCGTCTCGTCAAAATGAGCCAGCACCTGCGTAGACTGCAGCAGGCTCTTCCCTGCCAGCCACGCGCTCTTCTGATCGGCTCCCCACTGCCAGGGTTCTCCCTTTTTGAGCAGGCGGTACAGTGGTGCCAGCACGGTGGACAGATTTCTCACAAACTTGGCATAATAATTGATCAACCCTAGCCAGGCCTGAAGCTCCTTCAAGTTTTTCGGAGCGGGTGCGTTTTTGATAGCACTGACCTTGTCGTCGGTCGGACTCACGCCGTCCGCGCTGATGCGGTGTCCCAGGTAGGTGATAGATGACACTCCAAACTTGCACTTCTTCTTTTGCAGGCGCAGGTTGGCCGCCACCAGCCGCTGTAGCACCACCTCCAGCGAGTTCTGGTGGTCCTGTGGGGTTTTTCCAGAGATCATGACATCATCCAGGAACACTCCCACCCCTGGTATTCCAGCCAAGAGAGTTTCCATGTAACGCTGAAAGATGGCCGGAGCACTTGCGTACCCATATCCCAGTCTGGTTGGCACCAACAAGCCCTTGTGTGTGTTTATGGCCAAATATTTGCGACTCTTCTCCTCTAATGGCAGATGATTGTACGCATTTTTCAAATCTATCTGACTGTACACTGTCGCACCTTGCAGTTTACTGAACATCTCGTCTACTTTTGGCAGAGGATACTTTTCTAACGGCGTGACCTTGTTTACTGTGAGACGATAGTCTGCTGCGATTCTGATCTCACCTGAGGCCTTCTGGCAGGTCACGATGGGCGTCGCCCAGTCGTTCCACTTGACCGGCACCAACAAACCTTCCTTGATCTGCCGCTCCAACTCGGCGTCCACCTTCTCCCGGTAGGCGAGTGGCACCGTCCGAGGCTTGTAGAAGATGGGCTTCACGGCTGGATCCACTGGAATGTTGAGCTCTACATCCCTCGCACAGCCCAGATCGTCCTTGAATAGCTCGGAGTATTTTTCGAGCAGTGTTCCCATGGCTGGACTCAGAGTCATCGCAAAAATATTGTGCCAGTCCAACTTGATCTCTCCCAACCAGTTACGGCCTAGTAACATCGGACCGTTACTCTCCACCACAGTCAATGGCAATCGATGACTGACACCCTGATACAGCACGTTCACCCACGCCTCACCTCGGACTGAGAGCTTCTCACCGGAGAACGTGCGAAGCAGACGGCTGCTCGGCTGCAGCAGCCTGTCTCCGTCCGGCCAGAGCTCCTTGAAGCGGCGGTACGTGCAGACGGAGACGGCGGCGCCGGTGTCCAGCTCCATCTGCACCGACTGACCGTTGATGCTGACGTCGACCTTGATAGGAGGCTTCACCGGACTCGGCCGCTCCTCTGCACATGTGAACAGATCGCTAACCAGAGCGTCAACCTCACCAGTCTCTACTTCCATCTCCAGTCCACCCTCGGCACCCTCCTGTGACTCAGACTCGGGTAACATCCCCACACTGTTCACCGTGCCAGCTCGGTGGGCTGCACTGGTGTGTCCATAACGAAAACATTGAAAGCATTTCTTTCGGCGAAAATAACAGTCCTCTTCCGCATGCCGGTTACTCAAACACCTCCAGCACTTATCTTTCCCGCCCTCCAAGGCCTTACTTGTGTGATGTGTCATGCCAGCCTGCTGAGCTGGGCCCCTTGGAGCTCGCTGCGGTGTCGCTGGCCCCGCTGCGGTCGGCCGGCTCCGCTGCTGTGCCCGAATCTGCTGCACCTCTTGTCGCGGCGGATCGGCCGCCTCCGCTCCCGACAGCTCCTGCAGATTCCGACCGGCTGTCTCCATGGCTACCGCCATCTCTGTCGCTTTCTTCAGAGACAACTCGGGTTCTGACAACAGCCTGGACTGGATCAAGTCAGACTTCACACCACATACGAGTCGGTCACGAATCATCTCTTCTAGAAATGTACCGAACTGACAATCACCAGCGAACTGTCTGAGACGAGCGATATACGTTTGTATCGATTCTCCTGGTAGACGGTAGCATGAAAAAAATCGAAACCGTGCGACGGTTACCGACGGCTTGGGGTGATAATGGGTCGTTAGTTTCTCCACAATCAGCTGATACGTTGAACTCGCCGGTTTAACAGGGGATAGCAGCGATCGTACGATACCGTATGCCTTGGATCCGATGTTGCAGAGCAGAGTCGAACGTTTCTTGGCCTCGTCTGTGATATCATTTGCCACAAAATACTCTTCCATACGTTCGACATATTCTTCCCAGTTCTCTTCCTCCACATTAAATGGCTCTACTCTGCCCACCGGCATTTCAATTTCTTCTGTTCAAATACCTCGTCGCCAATGTTATAACGTGAACTAAGCTCGGCACCACAGCACCACACTCCTCCGATCACCGGTCAGAACTGTATTCTCACTCGATCAGCTGACCCGACTCAACCCACACCGCACAGCTGGGCGCCCCGGGCTATAGGTCGAGCGAGCGCAAGCCCGCTCTCAGGGACGACGGATAGGGCGGCCAGTGGCGCACCCAGGCACGCCAGCCCAGAGGCTGTGTGACAATCTACCACAAACACCTCAAGGCCACTGATGACGTCACAGGTTAGGTCAAAGTAAAAATTATCAGCATTTTGGCTTGTTCACAATTTGGGCTTTGGCCGCCGGATAACAAGTCCGATCAGGCTCATTTGTGTTTTGCGCTCTCCTTGATACCTATATGCCTTGGATACCCTGAGGGTACTCAACTTGTACTTTGAATTTTCAAAGTCAAGGCCAGGTCATCGTCGGTCACGGGAATTTTATATCATGTATCGGTCACGTGACGCATGTTTTATTGTCCATTTTATTCAAACTCAAAGATTTCTATAACAATGTATTCTGGTTTTAGAGGTTATTTTTAGTTGAAGTTACCTGTGGTCAGGTCACTTTCAGGTCAAATAGGTCATTTTTTCAAACAAAGATGTGCCTATCAGATGCAATTTGAGCTCAGGAGCACGATGGTACTATTTATATTGCTGTACGATGTCAAATAACGTACTGATAAATGAATTTTAAAAAATATATATATTTGTGAAATTTTTATTATACTATTTTGTACCGTAATGCGTATAACTTGACCATTTTTGAAGATATTGGGCTAAAACTTAATAGAGAAGGTAATCGATGGATGGTCTATTACATATCATCACATCGCGCTATATCTTTCACGTGCCTGACAAGGGGGTCACCGTCGGTCACGTGACTGATCATGTGACCAACGGTCACGTGATTCTTCGGAATAGAGCTTAACGTGTGCATTTTCCAGTCACGTTCGTTCGAACTTTATTAGGAGTAGTGAAATTCCTGGTCTGCTTTTAACACCAATATCATCTGTATTCGCGACGAGCGTAATCCTCTATGTTTGACACCGGCACAAGCTGAAGTCTCCCCTTTTCAAAACTAAATTTAGCAGAGAATGGAGGAGAAGCTGCTCTGTGATCTCCTGTCCGGCAGAGACTGTCGGCACAAAGAAGTGCAAAAGGTCGAATTAGTTCATTAGACCAAAGGGAACTGCAATACATAAGGGAAATGACAGGTCATTGACAGAAAAACGATTTAACTGCCAGCCGAAAATCATGTCAAAGTGTTCCTTCTAAGGAGCGTCATATTTACCGCCCCATTTCCTTTGTGGCTGTCATATGCCTATGAACCTCAAGCATGCAACACATCGCGAAGAGATAAAAAGAAAATAATCCGTTTAAAGTTGCGCTTCTCTTTCAATGTTTAAAGATCAGCATACTTGCAAGCTTATGCATTGTATCGCTCTTTTAGCAATTGTAATACAAACCCTATTTATGGAGCAGAACAAGCTAACAGCTCAGCAGTGAATGCATTATTTGTAACATTAGCTGCGTTTATGCATAAATTAAACCTTTTTGGGCAATGCTGTTACGGTATAATAGCCTAAAACGGAAAATGCATTTTGTGCGGTAGATAATTTATTATAATTTTACTTTGATATTCTTCTTTTTCACCCAGCGCTTTTCACCATTTCCGAAAAATTAAAAAGATAAACAATAATTCGACACAGCTTCGAATAATTCGAAGAGCTGAAAACAAACGCTTTATGTGGAAAATCAGATGCTGTTTGCTTCAAAGAAACATGTACCAGCCGTCCTAGTCACGCTCCAATGCGGGGATATCCTGGTCCCGTAAGTCTCATATGTTATTCATAGCAACAACTTGACTTTGAAGATTCCTGGTTTAAGTCCCATTCAGAATGGTGTTGGCCGGGGCCGCTCGGTGAAGATCAAAGGAAGATGTCCTCTGAAATTTTCCTTAAATGGAACATGCAGCCCGTATTCAAATGGTGTCTCGCGGAACACCGCCCAAGTCCAAAACATGCAGGCCAAGCAAGTTGTTTGAAACTAACCCATTCCTTATTTGTAAATGATGTGTCTTTGTAAAATATCGACATGGTTGCTTAATGATAATTGCTCTGGGACGGAATTGACTCTGGCATTTATGAGCGTCTGATAGTCACTCAATCACTATAAATTGTCTCTACTTTTTGTTGGTATTTCATGCCAACAGACACTTTCAATGTAATCCATGTTTATCCTTCAATCATCAATAGATGCCGCTTCCAATTTTGACAAATGCACCTATAGCACGCATACAATAAAAGGTCACAAGCCATGTAGCTCAAACTTGGCGGGAGTAGTCGTTGGCGAGAGTAGTCAGCATAACTCCACAGGCCCACACAAACTCTCACTCAAACACGCACTTACTCCTCTTAACTCTCTACACTAAGGTGTAGGCTACCAACTGCGGCGTCGGGAGCACCACTAACTTCGAAACATTCGGCACCAGTGTGCGGCAGCGTTCTTCACTTTTCCCTGAGTAGTTCCTAGAGTTTGGTGTTCTACGCAATGCTAGGAAGCCAACGGCGAAACGTTGGCTCTCTCTCTCTCTCTTTCTCTCTCTCTCTCTCTGTTCTCCAGAAGAGCTCAGAACAAGTACGCCTACGAGCTCTGTACAAGTTAAATAATAGCCGGGAACGAGAAGATTGTCGGACTACGCAACCCGTGCTCTCTGCCTCTCTATACCCGAATCCACGTGTTGTTTTTGTCGATCCTGCCTCAGGCCCGAACCGAAAAAACAAACAAAACAAATACGCTACCACCAGTGGACATACACATCAGGATTCGGCGTCGTGCGTCGAGCACGTTTCTGTCCCATCGTCACCCCTCCCCTCTCTGTCAGCAGTGCCCTGTCGCTGGGTCGCCAGTGGCACGGACTTCAGGTCAAAGGTCACTGTAACGGCGCTACAGTGGCAGCTGGGTTACTGTAACGGCGCCTCGGGGGCGGGGGCACTGAAGCGGCACCTCGGGGCGGGGTCAGCCGACTAGACTGTGCGACGAACCGTCTCGTCGGCTCAGCAGAGCGAAGGTCATTAGATAAAGCTGTTAATTTTGCGCTTGGAAGTCTATTAGACTCAACCAATATCATGGCTCGCAGGTAGCGCTCGCTTAATCGACGGCGATAAATTGTACTTTGAGTTGATTGAACTCATGATGCCTGCACATCAAAAGGTGCAGAGGCTACTGGGTATACAGCGTTATTTTTTCTGGGTTACAAACTTTTGCGAACATTATGTGACTGCACATGTAAGATTTGCCGACAATATTTTTTACCGAGGCTCTTATACGTTCTGGAAAAAGGCATCGGTCTAATTGACCCCTCTCTATAAGCCATTGAGTAAAGAAAGTGCCCCACCCGGCGAAGAGATGGCATGTTTTCAGAGTATCGGCTTCCCTTTATTGCCAATTTTCCACCTCTCAACCTGTTGACAATCAGCTAGACCCGCCGCAATTTGCAGCTTACACCCGGTGAAGATGCCAACATGCCTCGGGACTCCCCCACACTAAATCGTCCTTTCTCTGGATACTGCGACATGCGAAGAAGCCAATGACCTCTTGACCTCTGAGGACTACGGACGGTGGTAGTCTGACCTAAGGGTGCATTAGAGGAAGCCCGACAATGGGGTAATGAGTGTCGGGGATTTCAGCTCGGACGTAACGATGTCACGGGACGGATTGGTGGAAAATCAGACGTTGTAATGTCAAAATCAGCTATGGCTCTTTTTAGGTAGGGAAATGAAGGTGACAAAAATGTTCAAATATTTTTAAAATAGCGATATGGAAAGCATACAAGGGTGGATAAGCCCATCATCCGGAGTCATGGCTCATGATTTCGTCTTCTGTGTCTACCTAATTGTGCTATCCAAGGTCCAATATTCTCAGCATTGTTGCCTGCTCTTTTCTAGTAAACTAACAATAATGAAAACGATGACGAATCGTTCCATCGTCTCCGGACCAGCGGCCATGACGTGGACACGAAACGACGTCATTTGTCTGATGAAACTAAAATTGGTTATTAAAGAGACAATTACAGCGTCTCATTTCACCAGCTTGTGTGCTTGGCTCAAATTTTGTGCTGCATCGCATACCAGTGCAAACATATTTTACCCTAAGTGGTACCCTACTGAAATATGTGGCTTATACATATATGTAAGCAAGATTTATTTAACAAAATAAATATGGTGATGAAATTGACCAATAACATGGCAGTGAGATGCATTTTTATATAATAAAATGAGGCCGAAAATATATTT